AAGTGGGTATTGGACTTGTAGGGATCTTCCTGCAGGATGAGGAGTAGGGAAGGTGAGGGAAAATGAAGAAAGAAACGCAGGCAGGGACAGCAAACATGGAAGCAAGGAATAAAAAGGGGGTGGGAAAGCTAAAATTAACTCAGATGGAGTTGCTGGTGCTACCAGGGAGGTGAAGAACTGAGCAGGACAGTGAGATTAGATGGTCCTACAGATTATAAAAACATCTGTGGCTATGTGATAAAAATACATGTATTTGCTGTAGAGATTAAACCAAACATTAACTGACGTGGCACAGGCAAATTATCCCCTAACTTTGCATCTGGAGGGCTGTGCCCCTCCCCTCAGGCTTCTGGTAAAACTTCTTCAAAACAGGACCCACAGCTGGCCAGAGCTGGAGATTTCCCGTGTTCTTGCAGGCCCAGCTGGTTGGAAAGAGGAAAAAATACAAGAGTGGTTCCCCAAATGTAAAGGTGCTGAAGCAGACCCCATGCAAATGACCCAAAACTCAGAGAAAAGCTTTTGGAAGCTCCTTATTGCTCCTCTCCATCCCACAGCAGAGCATGGGATGGATCCACCAGTCCTTTTTGCTGCATTAACCCCCAAAACAGGAGGTGTGAGCACTTCTGCTGAGCTGCTTCTGGAAAAGCATTATCCCAGCAGCCCCAACAGGAGTGATCACCTTTTGGATGGCACAGGCTCTCGAGGGAGTCTTAGATTCAAACTCGGATTCCAAGGTTTCTGTGCAACCACCAGCGTGCCCACAGCTTCCAAATATCTCCCCCTCATCTACTAATGGAGCTAAAAGCATCTCCTTCCCTCACAAGGATGTGCTAAGGATAATTGTGCTGTGATGAGGCCAGAGAACTGGAGCTCAGCCCCTCGTGCTCCAGGATTTTTTCAAGTGAAGCAGCTTCTGCAGGAGTATGACTATTTAAGGACTCAAAAATCAGGAGAAGGTGCCATAAATCAAGGTGGGAGCACAGGGAGAGAAAGAAAAAAAGTGTATTTTCTCCACTAGAAAATCAAACTGTGATGGAAAGGCAGCTGTGGATGTCTCCTCTGGCCAGTGCAGGCAAGCAGGGAGACAGCATTTATTTAGGGTGTTCCCTCAAAGTTGGGCAGTGCTGGTCTCTCCCTGCCTAAAATCAGTGGGAGCTTTAGAGATTACAGTGGCACAAGAGTTAGATCACAGATGGGTGCCTCTGTAAGCCCCACCTTTATTTTTTTTTTTTTTTGAGAAGCTGAGCCAAGGAAATGATTCACAACAAATAGAAGTTGTTGGATTTGAACACTTTTTGTCCCTTGTGGCTTCACAATAAAAGAATTTCCCACCCAAAAGAATTGGTGGATTTCATCCTGTTTCATCAGCACAGAGCTGCTGGTTCACAGGACGCTTTCTAAGTCAGCTTTGCACGTAGGATTACACACTTTTCTGGGACAGGGAAGGCAGTTTTGTGATAGCTGGGCCAAACCTGCTGACTTTGGGCAAATCAGGTCCTTTGTCTGCGGAAATGTGTCTGAATTCCCACAAGATAAACACTTGTGAGACACTCGAATTGCCTTACTGATAAGGCCTGAGGATTGACAGGGAGAGAGAGCACCAGGCTGAATTTGAAAGGCTTGGCAGAGCAGCTGGATTCCCCTTTTTCTTTAGCCCCACAAGGTATCTCCAGTGCCTGCTGTCCAGATATTTGGAGTGTTCAGAGGCAGTGTCAGAGGAATGACATTGCTGATCTCGTGGCACAAGCCCGAAGCCCTGGATTCAGTGGCCACCTTTCCCATCTGCTGCTGCCCATTTGCTCAGGAACCAATTCCCAGCTGGTCTCACCAGCCTTTAGACACCTGAAATCTGGTCACTGCTCACAGAACAGAAGCCTCAGGACATGTTGATGTTCAGGAAAACAATCCCCTGGTTCACATCTCGCTTTAAGTGCCTGAAATGAGGAGGGACAATCCTCTGCCTCAGCTCCTCTGTGCCTCACTTTTA